ACCCCCCTCTTCAAAGTTCTTGGGCAGAACGTCAACGTTTGCAGAAAGCCAGGTACGTTGTTGTCAATGTCTGCTGAAGCCCGTGCTGAAACTCCACCACTAACACCCTCACCATAACCCCCCCAACGCCCGACCCTCAACCCCTGAAATACCACCCCCCCCAAGCCCCCAACCCCCCAAACGAAACTTCTCTGTTCAAAGTTTTCTTTGCGGATTCGGGGAGATCTCGGTGAGCGCAGTCCAACCATGTTAAAAAAAAAATAAAAATAAAAAAAAAATTGACCCACTTTTGGACCCAACCGGAATTCCGGTTGGACCACTGGGGGTCCAACCGGCCCGGTTGGATCCGGGCCGGTCCAACCGGCCGGTCGCCGGCACAGCCATGGCATAGCATACTTTTTTTTCAGATTTTTTTTTTTTTTTTTTTTTAAATTGACCGGACATTTCCGAAACTGTCCAGACATCCGGACCGTCCGGATCCCCCCATGCCCGGAGGTCCGGAAATGTTCGGAATTCCGGACGTCCGGAAACTACCGGACGCGGGTCCGGTTCCATGTCCGGAAATGTGCGGGTCCGCGTCCGGCGTAGCCATGGAAATAACATAGTCCCACCTGGCGTATGTGCTTCAGGTCCCGAGGGAAATAGTGGACCTCTGCCTGGTTAGCAGCTCTGCGATGGGTCACATCCGCAGAGGGACTGTGTGGACTCGAAAGCTGGCCTTGTGGAAGAAGATCCAGATTAGATGTCGGCTTCCTGAAACCGCAGACACAATATAGAACCAGCTGCTTTTCGATAACCGCTTCATTTGTGATGAGGCAGGGGACCCCTTCCCATGGCAGGGGCCGCGAGGAGCATATGGATGGAAGTGGGCAGAACAGGGCATCTATTATAAGGTGGGGCACCTGTGGGATGAAGAGCGGAAGGATTGGCGAACTAATGGGGAAATGGAGGCGGGACTGCAGGGGCAGATGAAGAGGGGGCAACGGGTTAAAGAATTGCGAGAGGCTATCCCCCTTCAGTGGGTTGAGATGCTAAAAAAAGATGACATAGCAGTGGGACAGTGGGTTAAGCTCAAGAGAAGAACGGAACCTGAGAGGCTCTACCGGATTGAACAGGTTTTACCGGGCGGAACTCTGGAAGTCACCGAGTGTCAAATGAGGTTGGGCGTGGGATGGGAGGGAATGGAGGAACCATTGCAAGACGCAGGTACGCAGCGAACGCACGCCGCGAAAAGGATAGCACGAGCCCTGGTGGAGTCAATAGCGGTGTGTGAAGGACGGAAGAACGGACAATACCTGCCATTTCGAGTGGCTTCCAGGCTGAGGGACCTGACATGGAACCCGGGGGAGTGGGAATGGCCACCCCAGAGGATGCATAAGAAGACCATGGTGCTCCGGGAAGTGACCACGAAGAACATATATAGTTCCCTGTTGGAGCCGGTGAATATCTGCACGGAGCTGAAGGGGTGGTGGGCAAAGCGAGACTGGCTCCCGGACGCACGACTCAATAAATGGACGTAGCGAAGGTGGAACGAGCAGTGCACCATCATGGCAGCCTTGCCGGACCAGAAGAGGGAGGGCTTGCTGTGACAAATTTGCCACCTAGCAATCCGGACAGCGCAGTTGCAAGCCACCAAAAGCCGCTATAAGGAACAAACCTGCGCTGCAGGATGTGGTCAGGTTGAAAGTTGAAACCATTCCCCACCTTTTTGTGCAGTGTCCAATGGGAGTTCTGGGGATGGTGGGCGCAGGAAGTTGCAGAGAAGACACCATTGAAGGTCAACGAGAGGGATGATACAAAGATCCTACTGGGAACCTTGATCAGGGTCAATAGACAGGGAATTGGGGAGCTGGTCAGATTGAAGGGCAGCAGTGTTATGGGCCCTATGAACACTCAGGAATGAAAGATGGAGGCAAGGAGCCACTCCGCCGCTGCGGGCCTACCAGGGAAACATCAGAATTGCCTTACTGGCGGACATCCGCCGATGCAGATGCATAGGGGGAGGAAAAGAGGGTGGATTTTGGGAAAGATGGGCCCCTCTCCCCCTGCTACTGACCCGGGACCCCTGTACAGGACAGTTACAGTTTGGCTTTGTTTTGCAGCGCCACGTGCCTGGATCAGAGATGGAGGAGGGACAAGGCTGAGATAAATGGCAGCCAGTCGGTAGAAAAGATTGAAACAGATAGGAAGTAGTGGGAGAAAGGAAGGAAGAGGATGTGCCATATTAGGTTAGCAGGGTTGGTGAGTAGAATGATAGAAGGCTACAGGTTGTAGAGGAGGGGAAGGGTAGAGGGGGGGTGGAGAGAGGGTGGAGTTTCGAAAGGAAAAAGGGGGAAAACAAAGAGAAAAGATAAAAAGGACAAACTTTGGCCTGGGAAACCTGGGCATGATGGGGCTAGTAGGATTGGCCAGGAAATGCTGGGGAAAGTCCATAAGCAAAGGGACATGTTATAGGTCGTATGCAGATTGTAGGTGGAAGCAAACAAAGAGTGGGGTAAAGGAAGTAAGCACTATAGGGGTAACACGGGCATAACAGGAGACAGGTTATAAGAGAGAGGGATCTTAATCTGGACTGGGAGGCAAGCGGCCTGTGAGGACGAGGACGACACCCCCCACGCCTAGCCTCCCCCGGGACCGGTCTGCTGCATGACTGGGTGTGGCTAGGAAGCTTCCCGACCAGCAGAAGCATCCCCGTGGAGGTCATGGTATGGGAGGTGGGGTTGGTCGTAGCGCCCCCCCCCTCGATAGGTAACCAGGACTGCAAGGGTATGGCTGTCCCCTTTGCTGCAGACTTTTCTCATGCTTGAACTCATGCTTGCCGGTGATAAGCAACCGGACTGATGCCCCCCAGAATTGAAGGGGCTTTGTGTTTTGGGGAAAAAAAAAATAAAAAATCTACTGGGAAAAAAAAACACACAACAAATCTACATGTCAGCCCTTACTCCACCACTCGGTGTAAAGACCCAGCGGCACCTGCTGCGCTACATACTTGTATTTGGAATTTTGGACATACGCCGACAGGTGCCAAACTCAGCGTTCACTGGGCCTGCCCCTGTCGGGCAACCTTTCCCAAAACAGGGCGGAGCGAGACCCGCTCTTTCCTTTCAGAGTATAGGGATAGAGAAAGTGCAGAATGGTCACCAACCTCTGACCAGATGCAGAAAAAGTGCAGACGGCCCTCCTACCTTTTTTCATGGGGTGGAAGGCGAAGGGAAAGAGAGAAAGTATAGCTGATGGGTGAATCTACAGTTTCAAGACCTGTAAATTGGATTCATGACAATCAATATCTGATGAGGACAGGGCGATCAGGGAAGACCTAATTCAAGTCAAGCGCCTCAATTCGATAGGCGCATGCGATTGAGGACTTGTCCAGTTTAGAGTTCTGGCTCTTTGGTGCAAAGAGGTGCTTTTCTGAAAAAAATGTCTCTTGAGAAGAGCTTATGGCAAGGATGAACTGAAGACTTGCACACCAGGCCAAATTTGCGAGGGGGAACAGGAAAATTTTGTTAGTTCAGAGAAGATACTTCAGCAGGTGCTTCACTCATTGGTTGTCGATGAACAAGCAGCAACGCGGGACTATGCGTTCAAAACCTGACTCCACTACAAGGAAGAGCACATTTAGACAAAACTTGTTCAGAGAAGATACTTCGGCAGGTGCTTCACTCCTCATTGGTTGTCGATGAACAAGCAGCAACGCAAGACTATGCTTTCAAAACCTGACTCATGTCGATGAACAAGCAGCAACGCAAGACTATGCTTTCAAAACCTGACTCCACTACAAGGAAGAGCACATTTTGACAAACTTGGGTGAGACCTCCCCAGTGGCCATACATCCCCTGTGTCTCCAAATTCCACACCTTGACGATAACTTGCCTCCACGGGTACCAATTATTTCCCGCCCTCGTGTCTTCCCCAACCCACTCACAGACTAGCTGAGTTCATCCTCACCGATCTCCAACCACCTGCATCACCCTCTAATTTTCTCACTACTGTCACTAAACCAGTCCCTTGAGTGCAAGAACCCCCTTTGGAGTTTATCCCCATCCTCGAACCCTATTCTAGCCCACTTTTCCATCGTGCAGTGGTTGCGGGTCAATATTACTAGCGCTCAAGTTGGTTAGGTTACTGATTGATCTTTAAGAGGTTAAAAAAAATGAAATGAGAATAGATCAACATTCTTGCATGTCATCAACTGCACTGCAGGCCCCTTCCAAAATGCAGTGCAAAGCACTTCTTCCTCAGCCTGCAGCTCCCAGGCCACGTGCATGAGCTCTAGATCCCTTTTACAGTAGTACAGGGAGAAAAGATCACAGAAAACGAATTCATTAACTCCGAGGGGGTGGAAGAAGAGACTATTGTCTGGAAATAACTGAATGGAAAAGTTCCTGGACCGAATGCAATGCATGAGAAACAATGGGCAGTTTACTTTGCTAGAAGTGCAGCTGACCTGATGCCGGCAGAAAAGAGAAATGGGTGTCAGGCAGTTAGCAACCATAAAAAAAGAGTGGAACTCAAGACTGTGAAAGACGGATATTTGCAAATCTTAGGAAGAAAAATTACCAAGAACATGCTCTTGTTGCAGCAGACATGAAATCTATGGACTGTACTGGTTCAGTGTGCACGATTACGAAATTGAGGTCGAAGACCAACCATTGCGGGAATCCAACCTTTGCAGGCACCTACAAACGACCACTCCCGAAGGAGCAATTTTGGGTTCCATTCAATGTTGTGCAACCGGGATTCTACTGAGCTGATGAAATCCTGAAGTGGATTCTGGCAGCCCCAGAATTTCCGACTCGTTACTGTAGCACAATCAGAGCTATGCTTGAGGTCAAGACCGACGACCCCCCTTTTTCCCATTCACGGAACCCCATTCACGGAAGCTGGGCATTGAAGAAAGAACACAGTTTTTACGATCTCAAACAAATCCTCGCCCATCATGCAATGGCGTGAGGACACATGGGGATTTCCGACACAGACAAAAGAAAGGAAACGATGTCCTAACACATTGAGTGAGGTGAGGAGGCCCCAGGCACGTGGTTCATAGTAGATCCACAGTACGATGAGTGGGTTTTTCACGACAACCTGGGTAAATCAGACCGGATATGGCACTATACAGACAAAGGACCCAAGTTAGAAGAACCAGCAGACAGCAGGTGGCAGACAAAAGGTAATCCATCCAAGATACACTCTCTCCCTCTCATTGATTTTTTTTTTTGGCAAACACTTTTTGTTTCATATTGCTGGAAAATAGGTGTAGCGTCCGTTGCATCAAGATCACCCCTCAAGGGACCTGAGATGGCATTGATCACTTTTCAGGAAGATTGTATTACCACTCAACACCGGCATTTTAAGCCTTTTTTCTACCCCGCAAAAGAGACCTGGACTATTCCTCTGAGCTCGAAGTCCCTTTTAAACAAAGAAATACAGTGGAGATCAGCCTGGATAGGCCTTCTGGGCTCCCTGCTATGAAATCTCTGGAAGGAACCTGAAACTGGAGAGCATTCAGGCCAAAGTTCAATGCTTGTCCATTTCCTTCCTGATTTCCTTGGTCAAAGCCAAAGTGATCAATCCCTCTCCAACCATCCCTTTGGCCTGTAAAATGAGTGGTTAGTGCGCGAGTTCCCCAGCGTGTTTGTGGACTTTTCGCTGCTTGCTGAAACTGGCTTCCATGAAGGACAATGTTGTACATGTGACTTGGCTGCTGCCTTTTCTATGTTCAGTGTTCACATTCCTTCGGACCGGAGTTTGTTCGGTCCCTTTACTGCCTCCTCTTGCTCTGTGGGAGGATTCCCCCATACCTCTCTTTTTTCCGCCTTTCTCTGTTGTGAAACGGTTTTCACTTTTGCAGAGGCAGATGCAGATGCCGGGGTTTGATCCCCAGACCTTACCTCACCCATGTACAGTATCGAGTGGACCCTTGAGTGTTTGAACCCGTGCCCTGTGTTTCGTGAGTTGTTGTTTGTCTATCGTAGGACTGTGTGGACATAGGGATTCGATCTGTGGACCTGTCGAGTAGAGGTCTTAGAGAGTTCCAGAAGTCGTAGCTGTAGATGTCCTGAAGGGTCAAGGTCGTAGCTGCTACAGTCCTGAGAGGTCAAGATTGTAGCTGCTACAGTCCCGAAAGGCCAAGTCCACAGACTTCCGGAAGGTCCGGAAGTGGCCTTTCGCAGCTTGCTCACGTTTTAGACTGAGGCAAGTGGGCAAGTGGGCAAGTGGTGGACCAACTGCAGTACGTTCGTAGTACGATAGCGGTAGGTTAGCAGTGCGTCCCCAGGCAGTCAGCGGTACGGTCCAGTCAGTCCCGGTCCAGTCCAGCAAGTACCATGAGGGACTGTGTGTACCATGGGCTGATGGAAAGGGGCAGACCAACGAGTTACAGAAGTATAAATCAAAAGGCAGCGCACAGCCATTGATTCATTCCTGCGGAAGCCATGCGGAAGCGCTGCCACGGTGACTTGTGCGAGGTGGTCTGCAGAGGAGCCTGAAGTCGAAGTGGGCTAGAGGGAGTTAGTGCAGCCATAGCTGCCATAGTTAGTAGTAGGTGTGCATTCGTGTGTGTGCAGAGTGTGTGCGTGGGGTATCCAGGGTGAAAGTGTGAAGTGAACAGTGGTGTTGGACACAGTGACGAGAGTTGCGATGTGTGGGTGCTGATGCACCATAGCCTGTTGAAGCGAGCTTGCATCTGAACTGTGTCTTGGTTTCCATATCTTCTAGCTTTGAGTTGGGCACTAGGCGCCAGTGTAATTCACCATCTGTTTGTATGCATGTGAAGTGACGAAGTATGCGAGTCTGATTGCACTGGTATCAGAGCTGGTTCTCGCTACCTCACGCGCCATCGCCGTTGTAGCAGGAGAGAGACGCATAGGCGCCATAGTTGAAGTGCGCCACCCTTGAAGAAGAGGTCCGCCATAGCTGCGCTGCGGAAGAAGGTGACGCGTACCTGCATAGAGGACAACGACGAAGAAGACAAGAAGAGAGAGAGAGAGAGAGGGAGAGAGAGAGAGAGAGAGAGGGGCTGAGCGATACAAGATCTGTTACCACATACCTGCTCTGAAGATTCGTTGTGCGGTCCAAGAAGAAGTAGCGGCCATAGCTGCGGAGCTTGGGACACGGAGCAGAGAGGGAGGTGAAGCATAGACGAAGGAGGAGACATAGACGAGGAAGGAGGAAGGAGGGATAACGAAGGTGAAGACAGACATAGCCGAGGGTGAAAAAAAAAAAAGAAAAAAAAAAAGAGAGAAAGAGATACGGTGAGGAAGAAGAAGGGTGAAAAGAGGAGGAAGAAAATAAAGGTTGGCGAGGAATAAGGTGCCGGCAGCCATAGCCGACAGAGGGTTGACCGGGCGTTGACCAGAGGGTTGACCGAGCGTTGACCAAGGTGTTGACCGGAGCTGCTGACCACGACTTTGACCAAGCTGGAGTTGGTATAATCTCGCCAAGCCCCTAGCCTATCCCCTCGCCCTATGGATCTGCACTCACCCTATGGTACTAGTCTGTCTGTCTCTTCTTTCTGCATTGAGCCTCTTTTGTCCAGGTGATAGGACTCTGTGTATGAAGGATAGGGCCTCATTGACCAAACCCCTGCCGGGCTGAGTAGGGCTAAAGGCTGTGTCTGACGACTCGACTGTCCTGTAGGACACGAACCCTCCCAAGGACCGGTACTGACCGGCGGGCTGCTCGGTGTGGCACGGTAGGCCTGAAATCTGAGTTGTGGGTTGCACAACGGGCCGTCTAAGTCTTGAGAGAACCTGCTGATCGTATCGTCCTGTCTGCGACGTTAAAGAATTCCTGAGGAGTTACGGGGGATCTCCTTAAATGCCTCCTGATCAGCAACAGGTTCTGTAGTAACGGCTGTAGTTTAGAGTTTAGGCTAGTGCCCCTAGTTGACAGGGTCTGAACCGGAGTGAAAGCCAGGTGGGTGTGACCGCAGGTGCTGGGCATCTGGGTTTGGATTGCAAGGACTGTGGTTGCGAAAGCTTTCGTCGGCCATGGTAATTTGGCTGGAACGAAGGGTAAGATTCTGTAGTCCATAGAGAGTCGGTCAGTTTTAAGTTAAGTAGGGGGAGCGTCTAAGTGGTGAGGAGTGGAACCGTTGTTGGGTCGTGCACCTATCACCATGGTTGACACGCGTACCGGAAAGAGCACTTCCCCTTACACAGCCGAAGAGGAGGCGAAAGCCGCCGCCAATCTAAAGGAGAGAAGAGAGAAGGAGGCCAAGAAGGTCCTGATAGAAGAATAGGCGGCGAAGTTGAAGAAGATTGAGGAGGAGATGGCCAGAGAGAAGGAGAGGTTAAGGAAGGAAGAGGAAAGTGTTAGAAGAGGAGGAAGAGGTGGAAGAAGAGCCACTGGAAAGGAGAAGAAGGGATCAAAGAGGAGAATCCAGTGGGATGAAAGATGATCAATTGGAGAAGAAGATTACGGAGTGGGTGGCCAATTTATCCCTGGGGCAAGAAGAAGCACTGATGTATGTGCCCAGGGACGAACAGGAGGCGACCTTGAAAGAGTGGGAGGCGGAAGAGGACCCACTCAGGCGCCAAGCCCTAGAGGATGAAAAGAGGATGGAGTGGAAATTCCGGCTAACAAGGGAGAGAAAAGCAAGATTAGATGCGGTGAGTCGGGCGGCAAAGGAATTGGAAGAAGTGAGGAAGCAGAGGGACCAGATGGCGAGGCAGGTTGATTTGCTGGGGAAGATGGAAATCATGGCAAGGAATATCGAACGCCTGCTAGCGGCTCAGGAAGAGCAATACCAGTTTATTAGAAGTCAGGACATTGCTTTGCGCTCGATACGGCTGGGATTCAGGGAGTCTGCAAGGGAGTTAGTCGTACAGGTGGGATCCGAAGTGAAGGCCCGCCTAGACAGCACAAAGCGTTATTGCACAGGCGCCATAGAGGGCGCCAAGTTGGCCGCACCCAAGGAGGAAACGGCGCGTCCCCATAGAGAGCTTGCGAAGGTCAAGTTCCACGACTCCTACAATGGAAAGAGGGAGGAGAACTTTGACAACTGGGAAAACAACATTAAAACGTATGTGCACTTGCAGAACGTCGCTCCCGACGAACATGTCCTGATAGCTATACACGCTCTTAGAGAGGAAGCAGCGAGCTTCGCCCGTTCCCTGTGTCGCGCCGCCAACTGCAATGATGATTTGGTGGCCTATTCCGCGATCACTCCCCTCAGTGACTTTCTGAAGTTGCTGAGAGAACGGTTTGCAGACGTGACCCATTGTGTCAAAGCGTCAGATAAGCTGCAAACCATCCATTCTCGTCAGTGGAGGAGTGCAAGGGCACTCAAAGGTGTGATGGACGAGTTGGTCGCCGTTCTTGACCATGGGGTTACTGAGACCCAATTGGTCAATCTCTTCTACCGCGCTATGCCCGAACAGTTACGCGGGCATTTCTTCGAAAAGAGCCAGCAACCTACCATGACCTACGATGCACTTAGCAGGGAAGTGGTAGCGTTTGAAGCACGGTCTGCGCCAGTTTCCACTTTCTGGCACAAGGACCTGGACAAAGACAAAATGTGGAAGGGTCGTACTATCTCAGGTCAAGTCAAGACCAAGGATCATTTGATCCTTACATTAGATGAGGGAGGTATGGACCAAGTTCCCTACGAATAGATAGTGTGGACTAGAGGAAGAAGAGGACAGTAGCGCTAGCCAGGGGAGGACTTACGCTACTGTCGCGGCCCAAGGGAAGCCGCAAGGAAGAGGAGGAGGCCAGGGCCAAGGGGGTCGGGCCTCGGGTGGCCGTTCCCAGGGCGATCAGGGGGTTGGCGGAAGAGGAGGAAACCGCCAAGCGGGAGGAAGGGGTCAAGGTCCCCCGCAAACCGTTCTGGTAACCGTTCACCTAATAGGGGTAATAGGTCACCCTATAGGAGAGGTGGTTGGCACTCAGGTCTGCCACAGGGCCGACCTTGGGAGGATTTGGGCTTGGACCAGCGCGTCTGGCGGCAGCATGTGGATCAAGGGCAGTGCGTATTTTGCGGTGACCCTGGCCACATCATTCGATTTTGTCCAAAGTATAGAGAGGCCCGATGGGCTGCCCAACAGGCAAAAGGCAGCCGCCGGTAGGGGTTGCAACTGCCCCTACCATAAGGCCATGTGGGGAAACGAGCGCGAGCCGGCAAGAAACTCCCACACCACATGAGCCTATGGCAGAGGTTGCAGGCCGGTGCCTAGACAATTGTCTAGAGATTGCTTGTGTTAGAGTCTCTTTAGGCACCTCCCTCACAGGCGTGGCTGATGAGCTAAAGGAGAGAATGCCCACCTGGGCCAAGATGCAGAAAGAGAGTAAAGGACAACTAGTTTTAGTAGACGTAGAAGTTTTTAGAAGTAGAGCAGGAGTCCTTATAGATTCAGGGGCTACCCGCAGTTATATTAGCCGTAGAGCGCTGAAGAAGCTGAGGCTAGGGCTGAAAGTCCAGAAGTTAGAAGACCCCATAGTGAGTGTCCTCGCAGACAACCGCACTATGCATGTTGAGGACTACGTAAAGGGAGTCCAGGCGTATTTTCGCCTAGAGAAAGATGGGAAGGTGGAGAAAGTTCTCCATTCCTTGACTCTCCTCGTACAAGATNAAGGTGGAGAAAGTTCTCCATTCCTTGACTCTCCTCGTACAAGATGACCTCTCTTTTGATATAGTCTTGGGTATGGACTGGGGAGAGGCAGAAGGGGCCACACTCCACCTGAGAGAGCATGAGTGTAGGCTCCCTAGTCCTACAGGCGAGGTTAAGATTGCCGGTCTGTTCCATGTGTCAGGTGTAGACAATACCCTGGCACATTGCTGTCTCAGTGCTCCTACGTTTGCTGATTAGTAACAAAGGAGAAATTAGAGTAGCAGGTCTTCGTAGTTTATGTAAGGCCTGTCACTGAGCCTAAGGAGGAGAAGCCCATTGACCCAGCTATTGCCAGGCTGCTGGAAGAGTTCAAGGAGTTAGCAAAGCCGCCGACAGGAGTAGTACCGCGGCCAATCCAGCATCGTATAGAGATAGAGCCTGGCAGTAGGACTCCCAAAGGAGCAGTGTACAGGATGTCCCCACGGGAGTTGGAGTAGCTGCGCAAGCAACTAGACGAGCTCCTAGAGAAGGGTTGGATTAGGCCCAGTTCATCTCCTTTTGGAGCACCAGTTTTGTTTGTCCCCAAAAAGGAGGGAGAACTTAGAAGAATGTGTATTGACTATAGGGGTCTCAATGCTATCACAGTGAAGAATGTAGAGCCACTACCCTGTATAGGTGATCTTTTAGATCGGGTGCAGGGATGCAAGTATTTTTTGAAGCCAAGCAGCTTCTGTGCCTAGCGACTCAGATCACGCCGCGGTGTGGGAGTGAAAAGTTTACGGGAAGTCTGGCAGAATCGTGCGTCCGTTGTGGGGTTATGTGTTGGCGAACATGACCGGACACGCACTCAAGAAAGAGAAGGGGGGAGAGAAAAGTCAAGGATGACTTGACAAAATCGTCATTTCAATTTGTGTCGGCCCCTAAAAAAAGACTGCATCCGGCAGAAGAAGCGAGGCCGAAAACCCGACGGCCATAAGCATTTCCGTGCATGTCCCGGAG